GGCATGCAAAATTCTTTTATTTATGGTTTGCGCATTCAATTTTATAGACGATGTTTAAACGGAATTTATTTTTTTCAGTTCTACTTTCGTTTTCTTGTGTAAATAAGCGGCTATCATCATGTAGATAAAACGACTTCTAAACAAAAACAATAAGTGGCTTAACCAGAATGAAGACAAAGGATGTTTATAAAGAGTAACATGGGCTTAAATAACGTCCTCACTCCTTCTCTTTTCTACCCCCATGGTTAGAGCCTTAAAAACAATGTCAATATAATAATTATTTTCCAGTGAGATATTCAGATGGATAGTGTATCATTCTCATTCCAAAGAGATCCTTGTTGCCAGAACACCAAAAGTATCTCTGCCACCACATAGCCATTTTACTATGCCAATTATTTGCATGTTAAATGGATCTCGTGTTGATTTATTCCTACTGATAAACATGTTTTAAAATATTCGTTGCTAGCTGATAATGATTTTTGTCATAAAAAGTACTGTGAAGTGTGAAATAGTTACAATTTACAAAAAAAAAAGTCATCGCGAAATAACTGTTTCTAAGCTGTTACTGTTACTCAGTTCACAAAACTGACCATCTTGATGATCAGACTAAGAAATATAAACAACCAAAAGCATTTTGTTGTATTGACGACCTAATCGTCCTACTGCCACACCCATTTACTTTCGTCGAGTTCAAAAATTGACAATGTTTTGGTGGGAGTTTTAGACAGTACCACTATGATGCATCGATCAATCAATGACGAGCATAGTACCTGTTCAATTAGAAAAAAAAAATCCCAGTTTTTTAAGCTCTGCTGTCGACTTTGTTGAACGGAACTTATCAAACGAGTGATTGTCCTTCGTCCATGTCAACTTTTTACTTTTTGACTACAAGCTTATTGCTTTGGTGTATATGTACTTTGAGTAGACCACACTTGAATTTGTTAATTCTCTAATTTTGATGAATATTTTTGTAATTTATAGTCAAAACACATTTGCGTTCATTTTAAAACCACCAATTTCAGGAAACTGTTGAGTAACATTAAAAGTATTATTACCTTTCTAGACAATGCCGATAAAGCAAGTTGTGTTTTCTATCCCCAACTCTTGAAGTGCTCTTTTTTTTGTAGGTTGTAAAATTGCTGAAACTGAAAATGGGATAAAGTTTACATATACCAGAGAAGGTCGGCCAAGTGGAGAATGTTTTATAGAACTTGAAACAGAAGAGGATGTCAAAGTAGCACTGGAGCGGCACAATGATCACATGGGACACCGATATGTTGAAGGTAAGTAGAATTGATTTATCACGAGGTAGACTTGTTGTTGGTCATAGTTGTAACAATAACCAGTGATGTGTTAATGCCTACTGTAAAACATGTCTTTTTCGTGAATTTAGCGAGAGAACTGATGTTTTACAGTATATTGTGTTCCGACTTCACTGCACCAAGGATTATTTTACTACCATTTTTGTGTAGTAATTACCAATGATGAAATTCCTTTTCTTTCTAGTACATATAAAATATTGCGAGCTGAAGTAGTGGTTTTGTACATCTTGTCTTTGGAATTACCTGCCTGTAGTTCTGCTCACATAAATGAATCAACACCTGATTTTAGTATTTTTTCCTACCTAGCCCTGAATCTAAGGCATGTCTGAGTTTGTGAAGTTTAACATAGGTTTTTGGCTTGATTCTGCTTGTAACCAAATGGATACACAGTAATTTTTGATTGATATGTACACATTGATAGAATAGATGAACCAAATGCAAACATAAATACCATAAACCAATTTGGTGATATTTAGTTAAATTTCTATGTATTGAGAATCAAAGTATCTATTGTGTGCATCTATTCTGTCTTGTACATTCACTCCATGTTTTTATAGCAGGATCATGGCTGTTTCAGGCAGCAGAAGACCAAAAAGAAATACCACCACCACCTTTTACAGTGCTTTGGTACCAAGCATATTCCAACCATATGGTACTAAAATAAAATGTAGCAAAAATCAAGTGTCAATTTAAATGTTATTGAAATCTTCTGTTTCAGTTTTTCGATCAAAGAAGAGTGAAATGGATTGGGTTATAAAACGAAGTGGTCCAAATGCTGTGCAAGATAATGATGGCTGTGTCAGGTTAAGAGGTTTGCCTTTTGGTTGCTCAAAAGAGGAAATCGCTCAATTTTTCGGTGGTAAGTTGTACCTTAAATTATTTGTTTTATTTGGGCAATCATGATTTTTGGTAACAAATATAGATGTACTGTTTAATTGAAATTTGTGGTCCTGTCGTAGGATAGGACAATCTAAGTGGATCTATTAAATTATATTTAACTTATCTGAAGTATGAATTTTCATCATCTCCATGGTCTTATACTTGATGTTATTGTCTCTGTGCCCACATAAACATGTTTAAAAATTTTGCTTGTGCACTATTATGTACTGTTTACTTCCTTTGCTTCGTCACTAGGAATGTCCCGTTTCAAGATTTTTGTCTTTGGCATGCCTTCATTTGTTGTAAAACCGGTTGACAATCGCAATTTTCAAATAAAAACCCTTTGTGTGTTTGGCAGGCTGCATTTTAATAACAACCATGCAGCAACTTTTGTTAAATGTAATGAATATTTCATTTTTGCGATTCAATCAACCCTAAATTAATCCTTAATTAATACACAGTTCATTGTGATATAAAGAATTCTTGTAGTTGTTGTATGTTGCTGTTGCCTTCAAGCCTTTTTGACAGGGTACCACATTTTAACAAAAAGTTAATTTCAATCCTAATAATTTACCATTTGTAAGCTGTTAAATTGTTTTTGATCAAATATTTTCATGCTTGATGCATGGTACTCCTGTAAGCAACAGAGCTCTCCCCAGAGCAATTAGAGAAAAGGCCTCCTACTCTACAAGTTTGGCTGAAACATTATTAGAACAATGAATATAATATAGGTGATTAATTATAACCTTGGGCAAATTATCCATGGCACAATGCTATTTTCCTGGGAGATCACTGAACAATATTAAGGACCAGAATTTTAGCCAGTCACCTGCCTGCTTTCATTTTAGATGGGTGCTCAACAATTTAGTCATTTGACAATTTCTACAAACCTGTCAAATTTTGATTTAAATTTACCAGTAATTTAGAAAATACTATACTCAAAAATTGATTTCAAAAAGAAAGTGCCATCTTTCATTTCAATAAAGTTTTTAAGGTTCTTTCTATTTTCTGGCTATAACTCTGGTAATGGCAATCTATTCTATTTTGGATAAACATAATCTAATAGAGAAGATGCATTGTTATGCAATTTAGCAGTGATGATGTGCTACTTTTTCTGGGGAGAATGCTGGCTTGATGATATTGGCCACGCTATCATATCATACCATAATGTTTTATTTTTATTGATACTGTTCTAACCATTGAATTTACCTTGGCTGCTACATTTGTGATTGACAACTGTATTCTTCTGGGTTGGTTCCATCAAAGGGTTGGAGATAGTGGCCAATGGGATAACACTACCTACAGACTACCATGGGCGCAGTACGGGGGAGGCTTATGTTCAATTTTCAACAAAGGATATAGCTGAGAACGCATTGGGGAAACACAAGGAGAGAATAGGGCACAGGTGGGACAGTGGTAACCGTGGTGGTACTTCCTTTCTTCTCTATACATTATACCCAATTGATGGGATTCAATGAAATTTTGTCTAAAATGCTAATTTTGGCCCTTGTAGAAAAAGGTTCTCTTGCTGTTGTGAACTTTAAATTTGGTTTTATTTACTGTACAGAAATTGATAAAAAAAAAATATTAAGCTGGAGAGCCTTTTACTATAGCACTTTAATGCGAGTGTCTAAGAATAAACTTTGGACTACTCAGTTGACATCAGCCAGTTGCATTACGTTACAACCCAGTTTTTAACTTATTTCACTAACACCAAAGGACGGTTCTTAACATTTAATTTTTGTTTTGAGACTTTTTCGTTTTTAACATTCGTTTCATTTTGGCTAACATTTTATTTTGTTTATGCATGTTGAGTATTATTTTATAGCTATGATGTTCTAGATCCACCAAACATTAAAATGTAGATACTGATTATTGATTGTGATTTATTTGTTTTGGATGAGTTTATTTTGGACGTCTAAAACTTGTTTGGTGGGTGTAGTGTTCTTCACTACTAGGTACTGATACCACAAACTAATCTTGTTACAGGTATATTGAGATATTTAAAAGCAGTAAAGAAGAGGTAAGACAAGCCCTTGGTTTGAAACCTCGACCGTTAATGAATAACAGACCAGGTCCTTATGACCGATTTGGTGGCGGCGGCGGAGGTGGTATGGGAGGAGGCGGCGGTGGTGGTGGAGCTGGAGGTACTGGTGGTGGTGGCCGTGGATACGGTGGTCGCGGTGGATCTGGTTATGACAGAAGATACAGAGGAGGATATGGAGGCAATGATGGTAAGATCCATATTTTCAAACACTCAAGGCAGTTTGACTGCATTTTTTATTCTGTGTATATTTAGTCCCTGTTCGGACGCAGTCCGAAAACGGGGACTTATGTTTTGCCCTGTGTGCGTCTGTCCGTCCGTGCGTCCGTGATCACCTGTATCTCGAACATGCATGGACCGATTAAGTTCAAACTTCACTCATACATCACACATTATATGGGACATATGCACATGCATTTTTTCATGATCTGATTAACGATAGCCGAATAGCGGCCATTTTAAGGCCAAAAATGCATCAAAATCGCACATTTTCACCATTCCGGACCCGGATCTCAGTTATGCATGGACGGATTTTGTTCAAATTTGGTACATACATTAAACATAATAGGACCTTGATGCACGTCATTTTTTTTTTGGACCGGGTTCGAAATGGCCGACTGGCGGCCATTTTGTTTTAAAGAATTCAGTTCTGGATCCGTATCTGAGACATGCTTGGATTGATCGAGTTCAAACTTCACACACACAAGGTACATCATGTCACAAATATGTATGTGCATTTGTTTCATGATCTCATTAACGATAGCCAAATGGGGG